CAGCAATTGTAGATTATTTTATAGCACAATCGTACATAGAAGTAGTTTCATTTTGTACATTTATGATTGTAAAACGGTTATTCTAATTTTAAAATGTAATATATATTTGTCACAACTGACTTTGAGTTATCTATGATCAAATAGTTTTACATTTGACTTATCGTGACGAATATTGTATTGAGTGTGTAGGAATCTCCTAGAAAAACGAAAAGTATTCGAGTTATCGAGACTCTACTGTATAAGGATTCGATTATTTGCTTCAATTTCATGTAGATATAGGTGAGTAGCTTGTATAAACCGTTGACATAGACCGTCTATTGTATAATAGCTATATATTTGTGTCAACTCTTGAAAATTCTGTGTCGTTTTGTTATAGAGATCTACCCATAGACCTATAAACTAAGATTATAAAGTTTATAGGTCTATGCATCTACCAAAGTGGAATATCAAATGTTATACATAGACAAATCAATGTTTGTTAACAAGTTCCAATCCATGGTTGATGTTTTTATTCTTCCTTGTGATTGATAGTATAGACTCTCTTGGTGATTGAACTGCGTCACCTCAATTTGATTTACTGATAATTGTATGATAAGTTCTGTAAAAATGTTGTGTAACAACACTGACGTTATCAACACGTATAATAGTCCGTTTATTAGTTCGAGTTTTATAGTTCTATCAATCATTTTCCTAGAACAATTTCAACATGAATATTCGAAAAATGGTTTAAATAAATTTTGATGATTTTGATGTTCTACCCTATTCCTTTTTTTTTAATTTTTAATGGTTGGTTTTTTCTAGAATTTCACATGGTTTTAGCCATTTGGGAGCTAATTTATTATTTGAGGATTTTTCTTGTAATCAATTATCAAATATATTATATAATTAATTATTTATTTTGTAATTTATTTATTTCCTACTACGTAATTCTAAGGTTTGGAACAGTGGCGTAACGTGGTAAAAAATCTAGGGAGGGCAATATAATACTTTTATTATTACCAAAACCCTGTCACCCCTCCCCCTCACCAGTTAAAACATATTTTTATTGTATGTATTTTATACAGTATATCTAATTGTTTGATTTTACATGTCTTTAAACTCATTTTATGGTTTAGATAAACATAAATTATAGGTAGCAGGTACTAGGTAGGTACCAATATTGTTAAATACTACCTATACGAGTTCATTAATAAAAGGTGATATTTGTACTGTTGGATTATCTGGGAGGGGAGCAAAACTATACCTTTATCTCTCAAAAAATTGTCAGGGGGGTATTTGCCCCCCCCCACCACAATTACGCCACTGGTTTGGAATATCTGTCATAATGTTCTTTGGATTTTTGTTTGGTTCCTAACAAATTTCTTTTGCAAGAACAAGTGCCTTTTGACCTTGTTTTTTGTTTTCTTATTAATAATCTTGGTAATTATATCTAGATTCTGATTTAATTTGCGAAACAGATACTGATATAGGTTGTCCGTTAACTAACTCGTATGGTTAACATTTTTATAGCTGAATGGATAGGTAATAGAATTGTTGAGGATTATGATGACTTTGTCAATAAATCGGAGATATTTCTCTAAAGTGCGATGACTGCTCGAAATTTCCATTGCTTCGAGAATGATACGGTGTACTTGAAGTTTGACGAATTTTTATTACATACTTCTTAAAATACGGTATATGTTTAGAAATTCTGTACTACGGTCCGATACGAAACTTCCGGGTAAACCATATAAACACACAAATTATGTAATAAAATGATGTGTTACCTTACTGACTATGTGATTTTCCATGGGTGTTGTACAAAACAATTTTGTTAAATCATCCTGTAAAGGAAAGAGAAATGAATTTTAACTCTTGTAGTAATGATCTCACCATGTCAAAAATTATTTTTTTAAAAGCTCTGGAAGTCATCATAGTGATCATCATTGGCTCTTTTTGTGTCTTTGTAAGTGTCTTATTCCTCTGGCAGCTCGGACACCTTTTAAGTAATCTCTGATTTGTTTCATCATTCCCTTCCATTGATACTAAAAATGTATGAAATAAAATATTCCTGTTATTCCTTGATGTCCTAACGAGTTGTTATGGAATTCTAGTAAGCTATCATTCATTATTATTATTATTAGTTAGTTAGCACCCCCTAAAATACAGGTCTGCTCACGCCTATGCCAATAGTGATACATTCCAAGGTCTTTTACTTGAAGCGATTATACTGTTCTCTTTAAGTTTTTGTACTTTTTTTTATCGATTTCTTGTATGTACTTAAATTATAAACGATAAGGTTGTTCATTTATAAGTTGAGCAACTGAGTTAGTGTTGATTTCGTGGTAAACGGTATTTTTGCAGGTTAACTTTTCATCTTATAAGTCGAAAATATCCGAATATTGTGTGAAAATGGTTATTAATGCTTCCCGTTCTTATTTATTTAATTGTTCAGTTTTAATTTCGTTTTGAGTTTGAAGATGAAATTTCTATTTAATGAAGTCGTAAGACTTACTTTAATAGAGTTTACTCCCTTTGAATTTCTGTACGTATATATAGACCTAAATTCTGTGCTAGACAACTTTACTATATGTTCTGGAGCATTGATAATTGATATTAATACTTTCTAATTGGCAACTGTATTGATAGTATTACTGCATCATACACAGCTCCACCGATAGTCGGTATTTAGTATTAAAATGTATCGTTCTCTTGACGACCTGTAATCGGAATGGTAATTAACATTTCCGTCCGAGCTTGTAGAAAAGCATTTATTTCAACAAGGTTCTGTGAAATTTCTGGTGGTTTTAAAAAAGTTATGAAGTTTTGAAATTCTGGATATTTCGAAGTTTCTAAATATTCTGGGGATTCATTCAATGTTGAAATATCCGTAAGGATTAACTCCTTATTTTTGTAATTTAATACTGTTTCTAATCCGATTGACGCGGCACACTGGTGACGGTGTTGTGTGCACGTGTCGCAGATGCGGTGGACACCGTGATGAAAAATATTATAATAATAAAAATAGTAATAACAAGTATGTCTAGGTAATTAAATAACTCGATATATTATGTGTTTCACTGGGTAACAACAAAGAACAGAATAATGGCACGGTAAAACAGTGTTAAGTTTATACAAAATGACACCGAACAACGATGAGTTGTGTCTCCATACACGGTATCAGAAAAATAGCACGGTTCAGATGGTGGTACCTGCGGACGTTGTCGCGACCGCGCGCGTCCCTAGTCCGGTGATGGATTGGGGTGACGGGGTGTCGCGGCGACGTTGCGTGCCGCGGACTGGTGGTTATTGAGAGAGATAAGGGCACGGTCGGCGACGGCCGTTTTGGTAACGGCTGCCGCACGGGTCCGCGTCACGATGATGAATGGTTTACCTAAAATTCCATTTTGAAGAACTGGAAATTAAGAGTATAACTTAAAATGTGTCTGTATGTTTCTCTTTTTTTCTTGCACTACAGGAAATAACTGGAAAATACCTCTTTCTTGTTTGTAAGTGATGTAGTATCGAAAGAATAATGGTGTTATATCCTAAACCGCTGCCACCAAAAATATTACATACACTTGAAAGTAGGAACATTAAATAATTGAAATCAATTCACAATAGTTATTGAAGTTTTATAAGGTTCTGTTATAATATTTTGTGTACATCAAAGGATTAACTCGTTAACGCTTGTGCCCAATTAGCAGTCCCACTGTCCTGTCAAAAGAGCTTGTCAGTATATAACTTTTAACGGATGGTGGTTTGTAAAAAATACAGTATATAACATACAATAATATATATGTATACTTAGCTATATTATCTAAAATATAATTCTATCATATTTCTGACCTAAAATTACTCGATGAAAATCATGGTAAAGAATTTAATTTTAGGTTTACAATATTTTTTTTATGTTTTCATAATTTAGTCAGTCACATATTTTGTAATTAGTTCAAATATATATGATTATTTATAAATATTTTTTGTTGAATAAACTGTAATTATACTGTTAGTTTTTTTATATACATCATCCAAAGATTCCCTGAATTTCAATATTTTATATACATAATACAAAATAATATTCTATAACACAAACCATATAATATATATATATATAAATATAATATAGGTAAATTTAAAATTATGTATTCAGAAGTACAAAAAATAGGGAGAACTTGAAATTGTGAAATTAAGTTAATGATATAAATAGCTTTATATTTACTATTTGTTCTAGTAAGTAGTAATAGTAATATGTAATTATAAACTGTGATTTATTACAGTGATTTTTCATTTTAAATTAACACATAAATACATACATACTACACAAAAAGAATATAAGTTTTAGTAAAAATTTTTATAGTGCAACAAAAACAAAAACACCATCTATTAAAGTAAAGATGTGTACACCTGTAAAGATTTTTTTTAAGGCATTGTTTAATTTGTTATAATTAGGGACCGGATTTATATGCACAAAAAATCCTCAAAATATGCTGTAATATGCTATAAAATATGTATTTATTTTTAAATATGTACTTAAATATTCATTCAAAATGCTGTTTAAAATTATGTACAAATATTATAAATGTAAAAATAATCATTAATTATTACGGTATTAAAAAAAGAATAAAAAAGCTTTTAAAATATTTTGTTATTTTTATCACCATTTAACATTCTTTATCTTCAATCTATAAAGTATAAATACCAACATTAATAAAAAGTGAAAACAAAAATTGAATTCATATTTTACCTTATTGCATTGGATGATATGAGTAAGTAATCTTATCTTTGGAAATAAGAACCGGTTGCAATTTTATCAATATTATGTGACTCTGATCGTGAAAATACGACGAAAACGAATATATGTGCTATTAATAATAATATGCACTATATAACTACAAATATGCATTTAATAGGTAAAAACGTTGAAATATGCAAAATATGCAAAATAATATTAGTGTTATTTTGGTAAGAAAGATCTAAATCGGGGACAATGCTCATCAGATTTCAAAAAGTTTATTTCAATACATATATGCATTTGCATATAAATCCGGTCCCTAGTTATAATTAATATACAATTCAAATGAAATAATTTTTGAAGCCTGAATTACGCAATTACTCAAACTAAATTACACCTCATATTACTAATATAATATTTGTAATAATTTAAAGTATTAGTATAAAATATAAATCTTTTTTTTTTTTTTGTATTAAATTTTATTAATAAATTAGAAAAAATATTGAATCATAAAAATATAAGTAATAACTAAAATCATGATGTATCTTTTCTATGAACTAAAGGAAAAATTTAAATATAATATGGCATCAATTAAATTCAATTTAAATGTATGATTTTAGTTTTTTGAATTAAAAAATATAATATCATCAGCAGCAATAGATGTTGTTGTTCGAGAATTACCAGATTCATCTTTCAATTCACCATACATTATCCTTCCACTAACATGTATACGTTGTCCTTTTTGAAGGTAATTGTATACGGTATCTCGTAATCCAGGTTTAAATACAACAATACGATGCCAGTCAGTCTTTTGAGTATTTTCTATCAGTTTAACAACAAAAATAAAATTAATATTAAAATATATTAGGTCATATTATAAAAATGATATATAAATGAAAAAAATAATTATATTACCTTCATTACTGTTAATATAATTTTGGTGTGTAGCCAATGAAAATACAACAACAGGATGATCATCTGTACCTCGTTTTTGTGGATCTGCCCCAACTCGTCCCAAGAGTGTGACTTTATTAATTGCTAAGTAAATAAATAAAATTATTACTTACTACTATTAACATTTAATTTATTTATAAAAAACATAATCATGTTTATAGTTAATAAATATTTCATATTTATATAATAATAATAAATAGAGCAGAAGAATTGTAGCATTAAAAATATCCTCTTACATTTTTAAAGTGATTTATTCAAAAAGTATATAAATCATTTAAATGTTGCGTAACATTGCATTTTTTCCGCATTCTTTAACATAAAAATGCTGATATATACTATACGGACTTCACCGTCAGTCGAAAACAAATTGACACCAAATTCAAATAAATAACTTTTTAACCTAATGTTTATCTTTTGGCATTTTTGTGTTAATAAAGTACATTAAGATGAAAAGTTGACACAAATTTAAAATTATGTACATAAACAGATAACAGAACTAAGAAAAAAATGAATAAAATATTAAATTATTAACGAACAGTGATTAACAAGTTGGACAATGCAATTTTTTAGTATCATTCATGAAAATTATATAATATAGTCAACGTGTTTACTGTTTATAAGTTAAATTAATCTAATAATGACATAAACATAAATAAAATTAGATGAAATAAGAACTTAAAATTTGTATTTATATACAAAATAGAATTTCAAGACTAGCTCTGTGAAAGCATGAAAGATATTTGTTTCATACTCAGCTATATTTGTGAATGAGCAAAACAAATTAATAATTTTATAAGAGTAAAAATAAAAATAGGTTTATGATTAAAAGTGAACAAACTTTTTTCAATTTTGTTAGGTAGAGAAGCTTCTTGTGTATAATTATTACGAGTAAATTGATTGGTAAATTTAATGTTTTTGAACATATTGGCTAGAACCTGGAAATAAGAATAACATATTAATTAAAAATTTTAAAGAAATTATTCAATTATATAAATTTGAGGCTCAATTTACTTCTTATACCAAAATGTAAAATAGATTTAAAGTTTTTATTATAGTTTTAAATATAAAAAGCTTAAAAACCATCTTAACATAAAATTTGGACGAATTCATATAATCAAAATTTTGAAAAAAGAATGATTATATAAATAATATTACATTTTAAAATATGGGACAGAATTTACTAAAATTATTTGATTAATTTATGATATAAGAATAGATATTAACTTCAAATTACATACACTAACAAAAAAAAATGTTATAAATACTAATGAAAAATAGTGCATTATACGCAGGGGCATCATTTAAATTTTTATAATATTTAAAAAATTATGGTTACCTATATATTTAAATATTTAATATTTGTGGACCATAGACTATCAATAAAATATTTTTTTCAGAACAAAATATGTAAGGATTAGTAATGAATAGAGCTTGGATTTATATGCATTTGTATGTTTATACTAAGTGTATGCAAGTCTATGGAGGTTTAAAATGTCCACGATTCATATCACACCGAATTTAAACACCAAATTTTATATTCCATATTTTGAGGGTTATTGCAAATTTGTTCACAGTGGTGCAACCAGGGGGGTCCTCGGGTCCGGACCCCCCCTTGAACATGTCATATCTTTCTAAAATAATGTTTGGAAAATGTAATACTTGATTCGAAGATTGGTTTAAGAAATTCCATATCAGAAAGGTTAGGTAAGGCTAACCATTGGATTAGCTACTCTCAATGTCTACTACGAAGTTAGTGTAACACTTGAAGAAGTAATACAACATTTAAGCTATAGAAAACATTGCTTTTATTTCAATTTATAACCTTGTACATACCTTTTACTTTTTTTTAACATAATACAATTAATTATCATTCAGTTTCACATTATAATTACAATATTTACATTTATCAAACTATAATTAAATTTGCTAGCTACTTTAAAATAATTTTTGGACTTCCTCCACCTTAAAAAAATGCTGGTTGTGCCACTGTTTGTTTATAAATGCATATAACATGCATATTTAATGAGTTTTTAATAAATTAACTATTTTAATTTAAAGTAAATTTTGTAATCGCCTCAAATATAGAACGAATAGACATGATAGGTATTAAGTTTCAAAAATATTTTTTTAAAAGATTTGTATTTTTATTAATTTTTCTATTAGTTTTTTGAGAGTAGGTAACTGCAAATTATCTAAAATATTTTTTTTATTTTTATTTTTTTTTAATTTGTATTTTCGTTTTTAAGTTTCCTAAAAGTTTTTTATTGATTTAATTTATTTGAATTTATTTTTTTAAAAGTGGATATTATTATTTTTTGTTGTTTTTGATAAAATAATTAGAATTTAATTTTATATAAAAATGTGGGTTTTTTTTTTAAAAAAAAATCACATTTTATAAAGTGTAACATAATGCATATAATTGCATATTTAGCCACTTTTTCTTTGCATATTTGCATCATACTTGACACTTTAAATGAATAATGCTCTAGTAATGAATAATGATGTCATGATGATAAACAAAGAACATGAAATGTTTCAATTTACCAATTAAATAATAACATTAATTTATTTACTAATCCTATAGGTTATATATTACCTATCAATAGGTTTAATGGAATAATAATAGAAATTTAATTAAATAAAAACTTAGTTTTATTATTTGCATATGTAATACTTTACAGAATTTATTTATAAAAACATAAATTGTATCTCAAATATAATGTACCGTAGTTTGGGGTGAATAGGAACAATTTTAACGGTTTTTTAAAGATTATGAGCTCAATTTTCATGGTTTCAATATCATGAAAACTGTTTTATACAGATTACATATATAAGAATATATAATATACCAAAAATAAAGTTTATAAGAATCGTGTAATAGCAATTGTCATTAACTGGGGAGGAGATAGCATTTCCCAACTTTTAATAAACTGTGAACGTGTATTTAAAAGAGAATATTATCTAATTTCTGAGTACAAAATAATAAATAAAAATTTACAATTAACTGATTTAAGCATTTGATCATAGGACAAAGAATTGCCAACTTTTTAAAATTTCTTAGAGTGGGGCATTTACCATAGTCTCCTCCCAATTATATGGTTCAGCTATTATTATCAATTTAAAAGAATTTTATAATATCTAAGAAATAGTTAAATAAGTTAAAATTTTGAAATTTTTGTAATTTATACTATATGTTTCAAAATGAAAATATCAGTTTTAATAATTATTAGTAATAAGGCAATAATAAAATATTATCTTATTAAAATACATTGGTTTACTTAATGCATTATACATGTCATACAATAATTATTAATGTATTCTAGGAATAATTATTATACCTAGAATGAACAAGCAAAAAATATATATATATGCTAATTTTACATGGAAAAACTTGATTTACATGCTGTTATTATTGCAATGTTATGTAAATTATTCATTAAGTATCATTATCATAACATGTTGCACACAGTGGCATCAAACCCAATATTGAAGTCAGGCCTTAGCTTGACATATTTTTAAAATTTTGGATAAGGATGTTTCATACTGGGATGAAGTTAAGGGGCCAAACTATATGAAAACTTCATTACAAAATGAAAGCCTAATATTAATATTTTATTGTTAAGTACTATTTCCCTTTCGTTACGCCATTGCGACGGATATATAGATATTGGGGCCTTTTAATATTTTATACCAGACTAAATTGTTTGGACTTTGGCGTTACTGGCGTACACTTAAGAATATTTCACACAATTTTTAAGTTGTACATAGTAAAATAAAATATTAGTATACTCAATTCATTTATAAAAACCTGAAACCTTGAAACCTGTCTTACTTTATATTTCAACATGTTTTTCTTTTTACAAATATCTGAAACCAATTTTCTTCCAATATTAATAAAAAAAACTGGTCAATACAGCAAAAACTGCAAATAGAAAATTATAGATAAATTTCCAAGTAATTAAATTTAAATAAAGAATAGAGTGTACACAAATTCTTTGTGGTTAATTGTGTACAATACATTTGCATAACAAATAAAGAAAATTAAGTATATTTATAATAGATTGTTGTACTTATAACTACCTATAGGTATTCTTTCTTCTTGATTTGAAAATATACTTCGCGATTACAAAAGATAACCTTCAACTTCAGGTGGTTAGCATTTATTTATAATAGTCGATTTTTAATATTGCATAACTATTTTAAAAATAAACTTAAAATAATATTTTTGTATTCCGGTTTTCACTTTTTATTTGGCGCACTTAAAAATAATTCTGGAAATTTAAATACTTGAGTTCTTTTTTAGGTTATAATGCCAAACGTTTCCTTTTTAGAAAACACTATTAAAAAAAATTAATTAAAAAAAAAAAAAATGAATAGAATTTATTTCATATTAGAACAAAAATGTTGTTTATAATAATGTAGTGAAACACTAATTAACCGAGCACGTAAAAATGAATTAAAATAAGTATAATTTCTTCGAAATCGATTCATACTAAAGTGCAAACGCAACCCCGACCACTACCGGCAACAGCTGTTAATTTGCCCTCGAGCTGTAAACCATAAGGCGGACTGGTCAAAAATCTAAGTTGTATATGGATTCCTACCAATTTTCTGTTTGGATCATGGGTGTCTTTTAGTTGTTAATTTTCTTTACGGTTATATGGGTGTCATTTATAATTATTATAACAATATAATATATGTGTTTAAATAAAATGTAGTTCAATCAATGAACTTGGAGTACGTAATATATTATTATCTTATCCGTTTTTGCGTTTTATTTTAAACTAACCATTTTGAAAAATTATTTTTTATTATTGGTCAACCTTGAATTACGTGTGTAATAAACTTAAGGTAATATTTACTAAATAATGTTTTATGATCGATAAAAAATTCTTATTGCACCACAGTTCACAGGATTAAGTGTGTATTGGTGTAACAATTTTCCATGCTTATATATTTATACTACTATTTAAAAATGAATTGCTATAATATGCCTCGCTGAAAATTACAAAAAACATTTGTAGAGTTTCTATAACGTAAATTAAGAATAGTGTTGATGTATGTTGTTTTATTATCTATTTATTTTCTGAAGTTTGCTGACTACTAGTAATTATTGATTGTTGTTAAGGTTGGTTATTAACAGTTAACATGTTAAAATTGAATAACATATACTCTAAATTTTCCTAAAAATCAACTTTATTTTTTAGTATTTATTGTTGTTTATTGTTTATAAATAACTAAGCAAGTACTTTCATGTGTATGAATTAAATGGATTTTTTTCTTAAAGTGTTTTAATATTTGATTTTTTATTTAAAATTATATATTGTTAAATATTATTCAAAAATTAATTAAGGTATAAAATGTATCTATATAGTGAAGGTTGAAAGGGATATTAAAAAATCATAGAATATTATATCATTATTTTAAATATAAATAAGTGTGATTATTTTCCACTTTATTTTGATATACTTATTGAAAACCAATTTATGGCCTAGAGTCAAGAGATACTAATGGGGGGGGGTCATTAAACAACTACTTCATATACATTTTTACTCTCATCTTATAAGCTTATTTTTCATATAATTGTATAAATTGTTTATGTAAAATAAAGAAAAAAATTTAAAATTGTTTATTAAAATTAATATTTCTAGTTCCAGGTAATAAATCCTTTAGTAAATAACTAACTCTATTAGATTATTTTGTGTATTACCTCCTTTTTATAACTAGAATATGATTTTTTTTTTTATTAATTTGTAAGTTTACTCTTCTGCATTATTGTAAATATAAATCCAATTCTGAATTTGGTTACCGATTTGTTCAATTTTAAATTTTTTAAAAATAATTCCTGTTGTAACATAATCTTTAATATTTTGAATATTTCATCAGTTATAGTTAATTATTACAAAAATATTTGACAGCGATATAGACACTTGAGTTTTTAATAATTTATTAATAGCGTAAAGCTGAGTAAATAGTTTTTTGATGAATTGTGGTCAATATAATTTATATGAAAAACTTCACTTTTTACGATAGTTAAGTTTTTTTTATTAGATGTAATGTTAATAAAATAAATACAAATTATAATTTGAGGTATAAATAACCATTAGTTGTATTATTTATTTTTTAAATTTATATGTATAAATATATATTTATAGAATATTCAAAGTTTGCAAGAATATAAGTTATCATGGGATTTATTGATGAACTTGTAAGTATTTAATAAAATAATAAATCATTTAAATTTAGCTATACATTATATTTTTCTAGGATGAATAATAATTTTCTATATACACTTTAAGTGTTAAAATTATTTATAGTTAATATATTAATTACTTTCGATTTATTATTTATATATTGTATTTATGTACATTAATTTAAACTTTTTTACCTCTAGGTAATTCTTTTCGAAGATTTAATTTAATATTATTTATTTAGTTAAGTTTAATAATTAAAGTTTTTTTAGCAAATCTATCTAATCTAATCTAATCTTGAAACGTTTCCATAATATAAGATAAAACATAACCTATAATTTCCTATGAAATTATAACCTATGAATTTGATATCAAAGATTACATTGCGCACTTAGATCGTAATATATTTGAAGGTTTATTGTATATTTACATTCAAATGTTATATAATCGAAGATATCATCCTGCAATTAATTTTTTTTGTCAATAATTTACTTAAAATTATTTGTTAATTATTTTCGCTTTTCTAAAAGGATGAGTTCTTTTTCAGTTAAAAACTTTTTATCCACATTTTCGGTAAAATACCATATTTCAGTTAATAAATATTAGTACTTAATTTTCTATTAAAATTTATTTTTTTTTGTAAAAGTGTACTATTTTACTTTTAGAGTGTTTCTTCAGTATTAGTTGGTCTTGGAATTGTTGTAACAACAGGCTTTGCCATATCAGCATTTGTAGCCAATTTTCAAAAAAAGAGCAAAAAAAAAAAGAACTTTAGTGGATTCGAATACTAAGATTCCACTGCCACTTATTCAAAAACATGTAATTAGTCATGATACACGAAGATTTAGATTTGAATTGCCATCCAAAAACCATATTCTTGGTAATATTTATTATTATTTATTGAACTTTTTTTATAGTATTAAACATTGTTAGTGTTTTATGATTCAAAAAATATGTTAATTAAATATTATTGAATGGAATCTAATTAATACAATAAAATCCTCAAAAGCTCTATAGTTGATGCCATTAATCCTTATTAATTTTTTAACATCATATAAATATAACTAGTTAATGGTACTTGATATTGTATTTATTTTGCCATTTTTCTCTTCTTGATTTCAATTATTTTATTCATTAATTATCTTGATAACACATTGTTTTTTTTTTTTACACAATTTAATTATTTTAAAGTAAATTCTATGTAGGTTTACCAATTGGGCAACATATACATTTATCAGCAAGAATAAATGAAGAATTAGTTGCACGTGCTTATACTCCTGTCAGTAGTGATAATGATGTTGGATATATGGATTTAGTTATTAAAGTAAATATATTTTAAGTATTGTAAAGTAAACCAAAGTTACCTTATTGAACTTTAAGGATATAATAATGTTAAAATATATCAATTTTTAGTTTTATTTCACAATATATGATTAATGATTATTTTGCGCATTATATTTTTGAAGGTATATTTCAAAGACCAAAATCCTAAGTTTCCTGAAGGAGGTAAATTAACTCAGTATCTTGAAACTATGGAAATAGGAGATACAATTGATGTTCGAGGACCATCTGGTCGTCTTATTTATCATGGCCGTGGAGATTTTGAAATTAAAGCTGTTAAAAGAATAGACCCTTCTCATAATATTTTTGTTAAAAAGATATCGATGATTGCTGGTAATTTAACTTGATAAATGTTTATATTCAATTGTTAAACAGTTTTATATCATTGACCTTAATCAGGTGGTACTGGAATTACACCAATGTTACAGTTGATAAGACAAATCACTAGAGATCCTAAAGATGAAACTAAATTATCTTTAATTTTTGCCAATCAGACTGAAGAAGATATATTATTAAGAGATGAATTAGAAGAAGCTGCTAAAAATCATCCAGATCAAGTTAAGATCTGGTATACTGTTGACAGACCTACTGAAGGTGAATATATGATATTTGAATAAATATGCATTCAATAGTTATTTAATAAATGTATGTAGTGCATAATGTTAGTATTTTATTTTATTAATTTTTTTTTTTTTTTTTACATACAAAACTATTCATTGTTAAGACTGGAAGTATAGTGTTGGTTTTATATCATCCGACATGATATCTGAACATCTTTATCCACCAGCTGAAGATACATTAGTATTGATGTGTGGTCCACCTCCAATGATCAACTTTGCGTGCAAACCAAATCTTGATAAACTAGGATATGATGTTAAGTTACGTTTTTCTTACTGATATGGTTTTTGAAATACATTTGACCATTCTTAACAGTTCAATATATTGTTGATTCACTTTTTATACTAGATTATGATCACTGAATGGGTAATTTGGTTAATAATAACATTTAAAATCTCTTTATTGTTGCTAATAAATTAATATTACCACAGTTATTTATGTATAAATTGTTCAATTTAGCTAAGCATTATAACATATGTTAAAATAAATCACTTAATTTATATTATAGGATGTAATTTCCTAACCTAACCATGTTGGCAGACGTCATAAGTGTATATATTTATAATGTGGATATGTTTAAATATAGCGTTTCTTTCATACATTTAGTAATTATGTTATTAAATATAATTTATTGTTTATCGTTACTTATTACTAGGGTTTGGAAGTTATAGGAGCCAAAAAACGCATAATATGCACGAAAAAAAAGATAAAATATGTATCAAAAAATGTAAAATATGCAACAAATAAAAATTATTAATTTATTAAAAGTTAATTAGTAAATTCTAAAAGTCTATATTTAAAAAAATTGTTATTGAAAACTAAAATATGGCGCATAAACTGTTAGAATTTGAGATTTGATTGAAAAATATTTAAATATATTTTCATTAGTTGTGAAATATGAAATAAATGTATTTTGTATAATACCTGTTGTTTTTGCGTTGAACCACTAATATTTTCGTTAAATGCATAGTAGACAATAAAAAAAATAAAAAATAACAATAAATAATCATGAAAAATAATATTGAGTTGTCCATGATGCACGTTTTCCGCGCTAGTACTGTTGTGTTATGTAACATTATTTAAAATAAATTGGTTAAGAAAGAAAAAAATAATTTTTTATAAAATAAGCAAAAATCAACGAAATATGCAAAATTTGCATTTTTAATTTTCAATTTTTAATCTCAACATTGTATAGCTTGAATTTCCAGCTTAGTCTGCTATAAATCGAGAGCATACAGAACAATATGCAACTCCTATAACATTCGAACCCTGCTTATTACTAATAAATAGAGGTTGGATTTTTATAATTTTATCAATTTATTTCTAGTCTATATAGTTAAATGGGAGTGAGATATCTTTACGATTCATGAAACACAGTATTTACAGATAAAAATTTATTTTGCATAAAAAGCATATTTTAGGGGTTAGGAAATATTCAATACGTTAAAGAATATTTGAGAATATTTTATATAAATTTTTATTTTTGTAGATATTTTTTAAGAAAATAATTTATATTATTTATTATATGTCTGCACATCCACATATTACTTACATCGGCATTTAGATAATACTATTCAACAAATACAATATTCACAGTATGAATTATTTTTATATCCTTCAAGATTGTTATAAAAATTAATTTATAGATATTAAGGATAATCCACGTACAGTTAAAATTTACATTAAAACTGATTTTTTTTTCTTCAAAAATGTTATGGTAAATCAAATTAATCATAATAGTAATTGATAAATTTAAACCAAGTAATTAAAATAATTTATTTTTTTTTTTTTACAGAATATTGAAAGAATATTTAGAGGATTTATTCCTTTTTAAACAACATAAAAACATCATTTTTTAATTTTTTGTCGCATTCTCTTAAGACGAATTAAGACTGATGGATTTCTAAGACTAGGAATAGAAACTACTACAGTATCTGGTATACTCAAAATTATATTATAAACATTCTCTAACATATCTCATTCCATTTTTTTCAAACTATTCAAATGATTTTCTAAATCTGTAATTGGTATCTAAATAAAATTATAAATAGTTTTATAAAAACATTTCTTCATATAATTATACTATAATTCATTTAATAAAATAATGGTTGGAAGGTCTATATATTACTCCGGTTCCCTTTTAATGCTAATATAATTTACTTGTTTAACTAAACCAGTGGCGTAAAGAACATAAAATTATAGAGGCAATTAATACTTTACTGACAAGTGACAACTATAGAATTGGAAGGGGGGGAGTATAAATATATTATTTGACTAGCAAATTTTAAAATTTTTAGTATAAAAGGAGTTTAAAATCATTCAATTTTATTTTAAGAAAAAATTTCGGAAGGGAACTAATCTCTAAGCCCCCTCCACTGGTAGCGGCCACTATATACTTGCCATATCTATGGTATATGAACAATTGTAGATTATAGAGCATAGATTATAATTATAAAATATTTATTATAAAATAATATACTATATTGTGTATTATTTATAAATACTTACATCAATAATTGTCTCAATGATTCAAAATTAATTCATCATCAAATTCATTAGCCAACTACTCATTGTTGTGGATTGAATTTCTTAAAACCAAAAAAATAAAAATTATAAATAATTAAGCTTAAAACAAAAAATAACTAATTTGTAATGTGGATAAATAAACATATACCTGTATCAGTAATAGAATCTGGACAATTTTTTAACGATTCACTAATTACACTTTTATTATTATGTACTGAAACAGAAGAAAGATGCCGTTTTTTTGTAATTATTCCAGATCTTTTAGATTCAGATTTTATAAGTATTGATAGACTAGCAGATGTATCATTATTTACATTGTATTTATTAGTAGATATGTTTTTTTTTTGAACTAAAAATAATACAGTCATCATCAATTCCAATAACATAACAACCATCATTATTTGTGAATTTTTGAATATCTCTTGAAGTTTCGTATGCATGAAATTGTTTTTTTTTTTTGTAAATTTATAATAATTAAATTGATTGAATTATTTGTAAGTGTCATAAATTACATTTAAATATTACAAACTACTACCAATAATGGATTGAAAATAATAGAAGGAACTTTGTATAATAAAATTTTAGTTAAAAAGTCTAAGCTTTACAATACGTCTTAATTATTATTTTTTTAATTAGTATGTCTAATAATTACAAATAATAGTTATATGTGAAGATATAGTATATATTTTTTAAAAAATAATACACATTTTTACTTCCCAAAAGGTTATGTCCTACATAATATCGACAACTTTTTCCTGAATTACATAACAATAATTAAAATTATAACTAAATTAATTTAAAAATATACTTTGTAAAAAATTAAAATTTAATGAAACATATTTAAAAAAGTATTAGAGCTCATTTTAAATTGTACTTAGTATGTTTGAATATTCATAATTAAATATTAAATTAATATAAGTTATTTAACTTTACTAACCTACTTCACTGAAAGTTGTAATATTGTATTTCATATTTTCCTCATCACTATTTAACAAACTCAACATAGATGATTTAGGTTTACTGAAAAAATTCATATATATTTATACATTATATGGTGATTCAGATATTGAAAAATATTGATAGATTAACAATAATACTACCTATAGGTATGTTATTTTATAGTAGACCATGAACCTTATAGCTCAGACATTCACCAATATAAGTTAATACCTAGAAATTAGCACCTTATAGATATTGTAAAATTATTAAATCATGAACCTATACATAGATTAATTGAGTTAGTAAGTACCTAATTTATCATGCACATACTTCATAGCCATAATCCAAAGTTATTTTATACACATATTTTACAATACATTATAATACACAAACTTACTCGTAAGAAATTAATGTCTAGCAAATGAACAGATCACATTATACATTTTCCGAATAACCCCATACACAGTCGACTATTCCACAATATTTTTATATAAAAAGAGCTCTTACCATTGATTTTCTTCAGATCGGAGTTTAGAACCAAAACGTTTTAGAACATAACTAGGTTTTTTTTAAAAAAAATGCCATGCTTTTATAGATTATTTTAGAAAGATGATACGAAAAACTTGTGATCTACATAAAACGGAACGTAGGTAATACATATTTTTAACTCGAATAAAACCGAAATAGCTAAGTTAATATTTTGTACGTTTTCAATCACCTTTTAAATAGAAGACATCCACTCCAAAAACAAATTTTTAGCACAGAAAAATGTATAAGTCATAAGATCTTTTTTCTATGGTATAAGATATAGGTAAATTGCTTACGTCACTTGTAAAATATTTTGATGAATAAACCGGTAACGTTTCCACGAAAATTGCCAACTTCATTGAACACACGGAAAATACCCAAGTCTTACACATCTTGGATGTTCGACCCATGAGTACAAGATATGTTACGATATTTTTTTGCAATATAAACCTAACCAGTAGTTGGCGTTCAATATTATAGTTTTACCAAAAAATAATTTAATAATACCTATTTGACAAATAAACTGTTTATTTATTTATTTATTTTAACTGTTTATTATAAACAAATTAATAATCAATATCCTTTTCAACGACAGAAGCTACATTTGATATTCCTATCTTAGTGGCATTCAATCGTCTCTGCGATACTATTGAAACCGTATATATATGTATGGTAAACAATGTTTGTTTTTTTTTTAGGGTTGCCATACGTCCCGGAAAACCGGGATTGTAATTGGTTTTGGATTTCGCGTCCCGGTGTCCATATGTCCTGCCTTAGAGGAAATGCAGTATTGCTAAATTTTTAATTTCGACCATTTTATTTCAATGTACATTTTTAATCGTAATCGATTTACAATATATAATAAAAACATAATTTCTAATTTACACATATAAATATTTAATATATTTTATTTTACGAAAACATTTTTAAATATTATATTGCCGGCCATTAATTCTTCAGTGGAGTATATATAACTTTTGTATGGGGGAGGGGGGATTAATTGTAAACAAATCATTGTTTTTATTTTATCATTAATTTTTTTTTACGTTTCTAATGCCATCATACTAAGAAATTTATTTTATAACATTTAAAAAAAGGCCTAGGGGTGATCTGACTTCCACATCCCCAACCCTTGTGTACGCAGCTGGTCCTCTCAATATATTAAAAATTTTATAAAAAGTATACTACTTAATATTGAGTTAATGTTGTTCCGGTTTCGCCTTATAAATTTATGGCAACCCTAGTACCTAAACATACTTCTCAATGTGATCCGGAGAAGATATAAATTATCTAATTATTTTAATTTATACCGCGAATTATAATCTTAGTTCGTGATTTATACTATAATTTATTGCCATAGGCATCATACCTAATACGAGGTCTGTTCAAAAAGTTCCCGAATTTTTTCAATTTTTTATTTATGGTGCTTACTTACAAGCTATTGAGATTTATCACCCTCGAAGTATTCTCCCTCTTGGTTAATACACTTTTGCCAACGACGTTTCCATTGTTGAAAGCAATCCTGGAAAGCGGTTTCTGGAATTGCTCGTAACTCCGTTAGCGAATTTTCATTTATTTCGTCTATCGTAGAAAATCTTTGTCCTTTTA